TTTGGGAACTGCAAGTAGGGAGATATCTGCTAGAATCTAGTGGAAATTGGAAATCTCTTTCCACTAGATTTTGTAATTGCTACTGCCAGGCATGGAATATATCTACTTGATGAGCCATGACTGGATTTTTTGAGCTGTAGTTTTATGGATTTGCCAGCCATGATTTCATTCTTTGAGCCGTGAATTCCATATCTCAGCCATGAAGAGCCATTTATGAGCCACAAACTTTCTTACAAAGATCTGTGCACGTGTTACCCAAATCTATAATTTTACCCTAAAAACCATCAAACAGAAACAATAATATTTCTCTTGAGTGGCAACTCAACACACAGTAAATAGTAATGCAGTCTGACTGCTCTGACATGACTGCAACTATGCAATCTTCAAAGAAACATTTTGGGTTGACTTGTTATCATGAAGTTCTGCAGGAAATTTTGGCAGGAGCAATGAAGTACTGCGGATTGCAGAAGTGGAATGAAAGAACATGCATTTTATGTAGCATGTTTTGTGAAGTGCAAACTGCAATTTTTTTCAATCAAACATTTCATAACTACTAAAATGATATGATATTAGAGCTGTGATATTTCAGAATAAGTCAGACTTTTCCTAACTTGGTTACTGCTAGCATTGGAATTTTTTTTACTTAGGAATGAAATTTTGCAGTTCTAAAATGACATTATATTATTAATTTTTTATAAATTTGGAATCTTGCCAAGTTGCCATCTGATTGTGCACAGTGATATTTTGTTAACAACTACTTACAAATTATATAATTTATTTTGTTGGAATCTCATGGCTCAGAAAATGGTAGAAATGAAATTCTTTAGTTGCAGCATGAAAGTTGGATATATTCCACATCAGCAGCTTCAGTCCCAGATGAATTACATGCTGTCTGATTAATAATGAAATTTCTTCATTGTGCAGCAAGATTGCAAGTGTATTGAAAATTTGTCAATTTGGGACCAGGAGCTTTCTGTAACAATTTGAAAAATTCCAATGCAACTCAGCTCAGCAGATATTGCACCAGGGTGCAGAAAGTGAGTTAATGTCTAAACATATTTGGTGATGCATCAGCATCAAAATTTATGTCTTCAGAAGCTCTGCAAAGACATTCACCTTGCTACTCGGGACGGGTGGGGTAACTCGGGACAGTCTTCCGACACGGCGTAAAACTGTTTTAGTAGCAAAACTAATTGGAATATTGCAAAACTAAATAGAGTGGCCTAAATTTCAACATTTTTCCTATCTATGTAGTATAAAGGAAGTTCAAAAATACTAAATTTACTAGCTTTGAAAAATTCCTGAAAAAATGGTGAAAAACAAAATTTTGAAAAGTTTCTTCTGCTAAGGTCTGTAGTAAAAAAAATATTTGCCATATTAAAAAACATTTCTCTTAGAAAAAAGTGGCAGACAAGTGTCAGCATGAAATTTTTATTTGCGGAATTTACATGCCTCAATCAAAAAAAAAAAAAAAAAGAAATGGCCGCCATTTCCGTATGGCGGGGCTACTCAGGACACCCCCCTGGGGCTATTCAGGACACCCCCAAAAACGCATTTACAGTAGAACCTCAGTTAGCAAAGGCTCCAGTTAAGAAAAAAATTGATTAAAAACAGAGAAATAAGAATATTGATTACATTTACCTTGCTCAGCAAAAAATTTCACTTATCAAAATATTAGTGCATCATCGGTCATCACAAAATTGTGCATAGAATGTCATATATAGAATTGTGCACTAGGCATCATAGAATGAAGAGTAATTGACCTAAACTATGATTTATTTCTCCAAAATGTATGATGGTTGTCACTAAAACATTCCTTTCTGTTTCAGGTATGTTTTTCACGATCTTTTTCATAGTAAATTCACTTAACCCAATTAAAATGGTATGAAATTACAAGCCGTCCTGTAAGCTTACAGATACAGAAAAAATGCTATAAGGCTGCTGATATGAAGCTTGCAGTGGACAAGGTTCTTGTAAATGCTCAATGGCATGTTCAAGGATACGGTAATATCTCATCAATAATACGGTTATTATTGTATATGGTATGTAATATCATATCAATAAAGTAAAAACAAGTAAAAATCACAGAAAATATCATTTATTCTACCTCTACATCATCTACAATGAAAGAGGAGGACTTCAGAGTACTGTTAGTAATGGATGAGTACACTCTGCATGCTTCAAATGTTTTAACATGAAGTTTCAATCCAAGTGTCCCGAGTAGCCCCGTTTGACGGGGCTACTCTGGACACTCTATTTTTTTTTTGCTTCTGGCACCTTACGAATAGCATAGGGATTTTTTGGAGAAGCCATGTGATAGCCCTTGCAAAGAGCTCTGAAATGAGCCTAAACTTGTTTATGAAATGTTTCATGTTAAGAAGTTATGAATGAAAAACGTTCGAAATCGTCCCGAGTAGCCCCGTTTGACGGTATTCAGTCATCATCATGTGCAATGCTAATATTGCGTGTATCTCCTGCTTGTTTTGATTGCTGCCAGACGTCACCTGCACAATAGCTATTGCAATGGGGATACATCTGAGCCAATCGTTGCAACCTGGCTATAATGATTGCACATCTGTCAATGCCGTTTTTTGTAAATTGGTCAACCAATTGCAGTGTGCACATATCTCTGTCAATCATTGGCCATTGGCCTTATTGATCATAATGCACACATGCCTGTACCAATCATCTGTCATTAGCTGGAAGATTTGCGAGTTTTTTTTTTAAATAAATATTGTCAAGGTAAGTGTGTCAGCAAGATCTTCTATAGACATAAATTTAAATTATGCTGCTGATGCACTGCCAAAGATATTCAGATATTCGCTCACCTTCTGCACCCTGGGACATAGTATGTGTTACTATTGATATTACTGATGATTGACATATATACACATGTGCATTACAGTTGCTGCATATGTCAGATAAAGGCAATCAAAACAAGCAGGAGACATGTGTGGTGGCAGTGTTGCATGTGGTGATGCTTGAATACTGCTGGCATTGTATCCTGAATACTGCTGACACTCATCCTGTATACTGCTGACACTGCAGCAACTCATCCTGTATACTGCTAACAACAATTTGATGTATCCTGAACACTGCTGGCAATGCGGTTATGTATCCTGAATACTGCTGGCCACATTTTGGGCTTCAAAAAATTATCTTGATGATGCATTTGCCAAAGTCTGCACCCTGGATATAGCACACCCCTTGTCACAAAAATCGTATAATACTGGTCAAAACCCATAGTCTGGAGGTTGTGCCAGCTGCCAGGTGCACTGGAATTTGTGTTATAATTTTTCAACCTGCTTTGTGTGCCAAAATATGTTGAGAAAAATTTGGCAATGGGGCATGTATATCATGCTTTGAGACTGGCAATAGCTGAGGCTCATATTATTGAGAGCAAGTCTCCAGCTATCAACTTGCAAGCTGCAGGATTTATCTGGACACCTAAATTATTTTCAGAGTAATTTTAAGCTTAGATTTCTAACTGTATCCACAATACTCTTGATTTTCACTACTATAATTTCCAAAAGTTAAATTTTTAGCATTGAAGAACCCTTCACCTGTTTCATAATAAATATTGTATATTTGAAACATTGCATTCCATTAAAATGTCATTTAGTATCCCTTTGATCAGTGCCTGCAAGAAATCTCTCAGTGCCAGCAAGAAATTTTTTTGACTCATTGGAAAAACCAATAAGAAGATTGTTATTAAAAAGCAGGCTTTGGTCTTCAATCAAATGCAGATATGTTATCAAACTTGCTTCTATGTTTAGTGTATCTCATGATACCAATATACCCTATAGGTTAAAACTGGAAGACTTTTAACTTTTACAGTAGATATGTATGTATAAAACAACATATTTTGTTTAAATGATGAATATCCTGACTTCAAAATTTATGTCATTTGAAAATTTGTTTTATAGTTGTTTCCTAACTATTCTTGGGTAAAATTAGTTCAGATAGTTGAAGGTCATTCTAGGCTGGAAAAATAAGTAAAAATTCTGAGATAGTTATCCTTAGTATCCTTAATTCTTATGTTGGCTATGACATTTTAGTCCTGAGGAAGATAATTAGACTCTGGTGGTTTGGCATTTTGTACATGCACCATGGGGTTATCTTGGCCAGTAATAACAACCTAAAACATTATTTCTGAAAGTAACCATGCATAAATTAGTCGCTGTGAATGGAGCTCTCATCTTAAAGAAACTTATCTGTTATTCTCTTACAAGTCCATGTGCATTTTCTAGTAGGTATCATAGCTGTGTATAAGTTGAAATGACATGGAATTCAGGCTGAACTATGTAAAGAAAATGTAAATCTACTTCATTAGTTTCCTTTACTGATTAGTTTTCTTGGGAGGTTTATCTCGTTTTATATCTTATATAAGGTAACCACAAGTAAACTTTTATGTATGTCCTACTTTTCACATCTCTTGCCATAAACTTGACATAATTTTGGTCACTGTGATTAAAGTTTTTTTTTTCCAGATGTTTCTTAAGCATAAAGGTTAGCAAAATTTCAAATGTGTAATATGTCTGGATGCACTAAGTATTAATATATAATTTCAAAGATAATCTTGCTTTATATAAAGATAATCATCAAGTTTCCATGAAAAATTGTTGCAACCTAAAGGCATATTAGAAAAAGTGAGCGCAAATTTGAAAATGCAGGTTGAATTTGATTAAAAAATTCTACCAGGTGATAGTGTTTGTATTTATAGCTTTCTTTTGTAGTTTTTATATCATTTTTTAAATTGATAAAAATGTAGAGACCAAATGTGTATTGTTATTTAATTCATTATTATATACCTATTTAATTTCCTACAGCCTGTGCCTTTTTTCAGATTTCTGCTGCTGGCCCTATGCTGTGCACCATCTACTCCTGCTGCTCTTCTCAATAGCTAATTTGCTATTATTGAATATGCTCATTGAACATCAGCTTCATTTTTGAAATTTGTATTAAATTGAGATTCACTTGATTGTCATCTGAAAATATTATTGAATACGCTATTTGAACATCAGCTTGATTTTTTGAAATTTGTATTAAATTGAGATTCACTTGAGTGAATCTCAATTCCCCCATTGTGAATTCACCCATAGTGGCATGTATATGAAGCTATATTTTTCTAAAGTGGTTGTTCTACTTGACTTGTAAATCTTTGGTATAGCTTTGGTGGTTGTAAAGACTGTTTTGTTGTTCATCAAGATGAATGTTCTTATGTCAATTTCTGATTGGTTTTGGAATGAAGAGATTTGGTTGCCTCCAAACACAACTTGGGCTGATCGGGTCTCCACCCCAGAAAACCAGCTGCCAAAATTTATGGACTTGTGGACATACCCATTCTATATTGCAGCAAGTTTCATCTTCTTGAGGTACTTTATTCTCAATCCATTCGTTTTCAGTCCTATTGCTGTGAAGGTAGGAATAAGAAATGTTAAGCCTAAAACTGTTGTACCTGTACCAGTCCTAGAGAAGATTTTTGCCAAATATAGGAAGAATGTACCTGAAAAGGTAATATTAGATGTTGCTGAAGAGCTGCAGTGGAGTGAGCGTAAAGTTGAACGCTGGCTTAGAGCAAGACTTGCCATGAACCATATCAACACACATACAAAATTTATTGAATGTGCTTGGCAGTTCACATACTACACATTTGCTTTCATTTTTGGTGTGTTTTGTCTGCATAACAAACCTTGGCTGTACGATATCAACCACTGTTGGATTGGCTATCCATACAACAAGCTTGACACAGATGTTTGGTTTTATTACATGTTTTCCCTTGGATTTTACTGGTCCATGACTTTTACACATTTTTATGAGACACGCCGTAAAGACTTCTATCAAATGTTCTTCCATCACTTGTTGACAATAGCCCTGATGGTCTTCTCTTTCACATGCAATTTTGTTCGTGTTGGATCACTGATGTTGCTTGTGCACGATGTTGCTGACATTCCCCTTCAAATGAGCAAAATGCTCATATATCTTGAATGGAAGAAGCTCTGTGATGCTGTCTTTGCCTTTTTCTCAATTCTTTGGATCATCACAAGGTGTGGAATTTATCCGTTGTGGATTGTGTCAAATACATTGTTCTATGCTGCAAATCTGGTGCCCATGCATCCTGTGTACTACATCTTCAACGTGCTGCTGTGTTCACTGGCTGTACTGCACTACTATTGGACCTACTTCATCCTGCGCATCATTGTCAACACGGCCGTCAAAGGCAAAGTTGAAGACGATCGGTCGAGCTCGGACTGGCGGCCTCCTTCTGAAGATGGCAGTGATGGTGTCCTCAAGAGGTCCTAATTTTTCCCCCATTTGAGTCCTTCCAGAAATGACATTGAGACGCAGGCATTGAATTTCAAGTTCAATTTTACTGCATTCTGATTTTTGTTCAGAATTTTTCAGCTAAAATAGCATTAGTTGATGCAGTTGGGCAAAATTTGTTAAGAAAATTTTTCTTTCATCATGCAAGAACAAACAAGGTCATGAAATGTTAATTATTGCCATTCTATTTCAGTCTAATTCCCCAAAACCACTCAACTGCTTGTTTCCAAGTAACCAAAACCAAAATTATTACAATTGAAAATTAAATTCATGTAATTTTAAACCAATTTACTTTTCCAAAAACAGATGTTCTGCTTAGAACTTTCCTTTGATGCCATTAGCGTGTGATGAAGTTCCACCCAATTCTTGGACTGGGGGTTTTATGTTGGAACTGAATCATGTTCATGCTTCTATGAAGTATGTTAAATCATTCAATAATGAAATAATGTTAAAGTTGAGAACTTATTTTCTGGAAGCGATTGATAGGACAACAGTATTCCCTCTAAGTGCCACGTTTGTAAATGAGATTTAAGTATAGGTATATATATAAGTGTGTATTTCAGTTCTTGTTGATAACCTTGCAGAAAGTATTTTAATGATCTTTAAATTCTTTTTATTGAATTTCAATATGCTGAAACGTGATGAATTTAATTCAGGAAAGAAAACGATTTGTAGAATTAAAAAATCAGCTTATTGTTAGAATGCTACTGATTTAATCAAAGTTTTGTTCATTGACACTGCATCAAACTCAAATATGTATTGTTGGGTTCCTCTTAATATAGGTTGGGTTCCTCTTTATATAGGTTGGGTTCACTAATCTCATTTATGTCTGGAGATTTTTTTTTGTGTTTGTGTCACTAGCAATTTTTTGTGCTAGTTTTGTAGAACTGACGTAGAAAGTGTTGTTTGCCTGCTGCTGTACAGATGCTTGTTTGTTTCCAGATGTTTCTTATTTTTGACCAAAAAGTGCTAGTTAGCGTAATTTTCCAGGTAGTTGAGCATTGCAGCGGACCATCAAATCTGTTACAGTATGGAAATTCCGTTCAAAACGAGATCGTTATTTTGTCATCGTGTTGAAAATGTCCACAGTTTATGGATACAGTGCTCCACACAATCATCCTTTGATTGTTTACATTCAAAATTCAAATCTTCACCAACATGATGCATTCCGCATAATTATGAATTTAAAGTTACTTGGAAGGATTTTTTTTGCAGTAGTGGTAGTATTTTGAGCGAGTAGAAACCTCAAGAAGCATTCTTATGTAAATAAAGAATAGCTGAACCATATTACAGCCACAGTTACCGTAAAGTCAAGGTTTCAATACGGAAACCAAGTTTATCCTTAGACAGAATCATGACGTGGTCATTTCTTTAATTCATAGTAAATTTTTTCTATCCTTTAGTAACGAATGCAACTTTTATTAAAAGATGTAAAATTTTCTAATTTAAGGTGATATTGATCCATTGTAAAATCAAATAATGTACGCTTTTTTACGTCATTATCTAGGCTGGCTTGCCAAACCACTCTTTATCTTAGAAAATGAGTACCTAGTTCAGTGTGTATGTATGATGGGTGATGGTACTTCAAATCTACTGCTACTTTTTATAATTTAATAAAGGCTAAATTATCTTGATGTTGTCGTTTGAAATGAACTGAGTTTGTATTAAGTCATATTTCTGGGTAAACTTCTCAATGATTCCAGCTCGTGAACTTTCCACCTGAAACTGGGTTATTGTTAATGTTACTGATAGGATTATCGTGTTGCACGTTTTAAATGTGTAAAATTAAGCATTCATGAAGTGTACGAATTAAAGAAAGTTGTATTGATAGAAAACCTTTAAAGAGAGCATTAAAGAGCGGGAAGTGAGGGAGTATTTTTTGAAAAAAGTCTATACTGTTGAAGTTCAATTTGGTGTGCATTCAGTGATGTTTTTACCGTGTGCTAAGAGTGCCAATCTTCACCCAAGTTTGGACTTGCCATACTAGTTAATGATCATATTGTAAGTTTAGCTTAATGATTCATGTGTCCTAATGTTGCATTTAAATGATATGCCTTACACTCCAAGAGTTCGATGTAAATTCCATAACACTGAACTTCGAATATCTTTTGAACCTAGTATAGCAAGCTGGCCAAATATATTGATCGTCACTTATTACCTATAAGATGAATCACAGCCCAACATTTGTGGACGCGGCTAATAAAGTGAACGGTTGCTGGTACGTTGTCAGTGTCTAAATAAATGTAATGCAATTCTCTGCTGAATGTTGCTCTGCTGCGTATCTTAGGGCACAGTATAGTGTCGGCAAGAATTGTTCAGCGCGTGGATAATAACTGCAACAATTATAGGCATATTTTATCCATCATAATTTTCGAACATAATGCGTAACACTTTGCTCTATCGTGTAAATGGTTATGATTATACATGCTTCTCCAAGCCATCTCTTCTCTTGACCACTTAATTGAAAGTCGAAATGACCACTTAATAGAAAGAAGTGGTCGAATTGTTCACTTCTCGTGACCACATTCACTTCACGTGACCCACATAAGATGACATTGGGCTGATGCTTCACTGATTTGCAGAGTGAATTCTGTGTGAATTCCTACAAGGTGTGTTCTTTTCTAAACATGTGACACTCTTACGGTGCTTTTGTCACCAAGAAGCCCTACCTCACTTTGCTCTGTTTCCCAGGCCATTATTTCCATAGGAAAACTAGTTTTAAATAAAGCGCACTCTGCAAGCTGAGGTTTGCTTGGATGCTGGGGCATCTTACACGTAGTTACGGTAAAGAGATTATTTTCTTATGAATTTATTTTCTTGATTTCTGATAATATGCAAGAGTCTTCTCCGAAAAATTGTGTCTGTGAGAAATTGTCAGCGTTTTTTGAAGCTGTACAATGTACATGGATGCTTTAATGTTTCTCCTTAACCTCCCTGCCGTTAATGACCATTTCCTTACGCCTCACTTGATGCGTAATCTACTTATATGATTTCATTATTTAAGGTGATGCGAAATTAGGAATCGAGCTGTTATTTGGGTACTGAACTATTCCTTGCATAATATATTAAATTTGTTTTTGTTTCTAAATGATGCATTATGAAACTGATCTCCGCATGAATTTTAGACGCGTGTTAAGGATATATTCTTTAGGTTCTTTTTGTTGGTCTGACTTTGGTAGGTTCAATGTTGAAGCTACTGCATAGTCCAAGTTTGTGCTTTTTTGTGTTCTAGTGATAAAACTATGTACATTATTTGTTAAGGATGCATGTTTGAGGAATACCAAACCTATTATATATTTACTGAGCAGCTTTCGATGCTGCTCAGCAGCTCTATGTGATCCGGAAATACTGCTTAAAATTGGGCATTTTTTTGGCTTTTGTTTCCAATTTCGTAATGTTGGAAACATCACGTCAGCTAACAGGACAGTTTTTCAAATATAATCTCATGTTGTATTTATGCTAGCAAGTTACTATCCTTGGTGTAGAGCAATGGCGTGAGTCGATGCATGCGTCCCGTTGTGATGGCGTAGTGTATGGTTGAACTACATTAGGTTGACACACGAGAAGTTCCGTCTTTCAGTTCAGCTTTCTTACTACGTCACGTAGATCGAGAAACGTAAACAAACCCCTCATTCCCATGACGGATTGGTTGACTGGTGTGATCGCATTTCGGTGATTGGTTAATGCCTGTGACGTCACTGAGATCAGTGACGTCACGGGCGAACAACGAACTACATCCGCAAATATGGGCTTCTCATGGGTCAACCTTATACTAGTTCAACCATTGCGTAGTGTGTGTGGTTCGAGGGGCCGGAGCTACAAAAGAAAAAAAAATTACTCGTGCGCTTTGCGTTAATGCGTAATTTTATTTGAATTGTATGTAATAAGATTCATGAATAACGTATTATTGCTTTATCATTTAACGACAATTACTTATAAAAAAATGAGGTTAAAGCCATCGTCAAAGCTATGAGAAGGAAAAGTAATTGAATTCCTTTTGATGAAAATAAAATAATAACTTGGTATGAATATAACAAGTTTTTCAAGTTTTTATAATTATTCTGGTATTCCAGTTTACGATGAATATGTATTTTGAGGATGGTATTGAAATCACGAACGAATATTACTGCTCGAATTCATGTATTCGTATTAAATATACCAGTATTTACGTGTCATGTTGCCTATTCATTGATTTTGCGAACGCTTATTGTCGCCTCTTGCCTGTCTAATTCATGTATCAATAGTATTTCATAGTAAGTGACTGTGTTATTGTGCTATTGGTATCAGCTTACAATGAACTTTCCTTCCAATTTTAAGTCAGCGGCTTAGATCCGTGACCGGCATTTGTGTGGGGCTAACGAATTTGTCACGAGATTCCTTGATGAACTTGTAATATTGGCCTTTGAATTGATCTTCAAAGTTTTCATGATGATAAAGGACAGTTTGGGTCCAATAAGCATATATTTAATTGACTTTATGTTGCGCACTTGTTGAATGTGGGGTTATCATATCCTTTGATTGTCATATAGATTGATTACATCGATTGTGTTAATTCTGTGAAGTGAATTTCACCATTTACTGCCGTTGAAAAATACTAGTTATCTCTGAGTAAATTTGATACCAATATTATATATATTTTTTATTTCATAACCATTGGTGACATTATTGTCGCATGCAAATTTTAGAGACAGACTATTTCAATAGGCTCTTTTTGACTCCAGTTAATTACCTATTCGTTGCAGTTTAATTATCCAACGATAATAAAAGAAGAGAAGGTGTGGATCCTTGCGTTGATGCTTTGAATACAATAAAGAATGAAAGAAAAAGTTATTTTAGGTTAGGTTTAGCGAACTCTTTCGCGCTCGTCTGTATTACGCTCAGTAATGAACATTAAAGAGGAAATTATTTACCTTTACCGACGATTGTTCATTGCTTGAAATATGACTGGCGGGAACCCCACAGAATTAAATGAAGTTTCATCTTGGCGTACAACAGAGTTAGTTAGTTAGTTTAGTGGCCTAATGTTTACTAGCGCTTCAGCTAGTTAGCTATCTCGCACAGAAAGTCACGATGAACATCACCATAAAGGTGGAAGGTCTCAAGTTAATCATCACCCACAAGGCGCTGAAGGTCTCAGATGTCCAGCCCGCTGAAGCTGGCTCGAAAGAAGCAGCGTTAGCATCTCAAAGAGACGAAGTGACGAGGAGGGACAGGTGAAAAGTAACAGAAACGAAGACACTCGAACAAGAGGTCGCTTACACGGGATATCGGCCGCCCGCACGAGAGAGACAGAGAAGGGAAATGTAAGGAATCCTACCTACATAATAACTTAACCCCACAACTGAGACCTGCAGTCAGACACCGCGAGCTCAGCGGTGGGGCGCTCAGAAACAATCCCCCTAGGAACGCGAAATCCCATAGGACTTCTGACGCGCACAGACACACGTCAGAAGTTCCCCCTGAGGGGGGTACAACAGAGTATAGCATGCATAAAAGAAAGCGAGTGATGAATAAAAAAATTTTTATCTTCTATAATGCTGATAGTTACTGTACCATGATAATACAAATTAAAGGAAAAATTTCTCCAGCAATATCGACCAAGAGGCGTGCAAGGCGATGCAAAGAATCCTGCACTTGAGAACGAGCGATACCTCACCTCATCGTCCAGTGGTGATCCGAAGTTCACGAGAAGTTGAATTCTGCAGTGAAATTAATAGGTACACTTTCGAAATTGTATTATCAAGTGCATCCAGCTTTTCTCAACGATGAATTCCTTTCACTTAGTTTTAGTTTTTTTTAAACGCCAGCGAACAGCATGACGAATAGATTTGTTCCAGCAAATAGAATTTTTACTTTACTGCTGAGCATGCGTGAGTTTCATTTCATCTAAACTTTAAGCACCGCAAAATAAAACGTACGTATTTGCTTTCGGGTCTGAAGTCTCGGAGGGCCTTTGAAACGCTTGGTTATCAGAGTACAGAAATTTAATAACTTGAAATATCTATGAAAGACAAGCATCCGTAGAATAATTTTTTTAATTGTAATAATAGCGGTTTCAGCGTTGCAGATTTTGCCACTAGGCCTGTCTCCGCTTCTAAACATTGAATAGTTTTCACGGAATGTTACGGGTCTCGAACATGCAACTCACTGCTCCTATAGCTTGACAAAAACTTTAGGCAGTTGGTTGGCTCTTGGTATCGAACACACAACTCATTTTCCAATTTTTTTTACTCTGAATCGTGACCACTAGGCCAACCTACCGTCAACAGACATGATAACTTTTCACAAGTAGGCGATTTTTTTCGTGAACCCTTACTTCTATAGCCTTCTCACTGCTCCCAAGCGTCACTAGTATAAAGTTTTAGGCGTGTTGGAAGAGTTCGTGTGTTGTAGGCCACCACGTGGTGCCGGGAACTTGACCCGAACTGCTCACTCGACGAGCACAAGTTGATGACTGCCCGACAAATTTGGTTATTAATGGCGGCATATTTTCTTGCAGCGTATAGGAAAATTTTTTCCAAGAGCGGATCATCTTTGACGCCGATTTTGACAATGATTTCAGCATTCATTTATGAATTTGTGATCAGTGTAAACAGTTAAGGTAAATAATGAAATAGAATTGATCTTCGTTGAT